GTTTCCACCCTCCAAGCAATCGATACTCAGTCTATCGAGGGAACAGAGTCTCTCCTGTGCCACAGACCCCCCAAGAAACACACTCCACATTCTATGTTTCCATGTCACACATGGCACCGCCTGGAGAAAAAGTTTGCTATGGTGACCCTTCTCCTTTCCATGCACAGTGCTCTCACCACCAATACATGGATGGTCACTGCCTTTAGGATTTTTCCTTTCAAGGATGCCCTGGCAAGAGGGGAGAAAACAACAGTTCAGTTTTTCATTGTTTGGGACCACAGTCCCCCCCATTTTCCCTTGGGGCCGAGGGCTCAAGAACAGAGATCTTCTTCTCTTCTCATTCCTTTCCAGGGCAAGGGGGCGCCACCACAAACCCCCTAACCTTTTCTCTGTTCACTCCACTTTTGTCTTTTTCCCAGCTGAAGCAGGTCTCTTGACTCACTGGCATCCTCCCAAAACACAGTCCCTCTTGAAGGAGAAGATTTGGTTCAGGTTGTGGCTAACACGGAAAAGTCCAGCCAAAAGCCACTCCTTGTCCCCCTCCCATCCAGAATTCCTCCTTCCAACATCCCATCCCAGGGTCCAAGGTGTTCCTCTTCCTCTCTTTCAAACCGAGGAGGGGAAAGGAAAATTCACAAAGCTTTCATTTCTCAAGGAAGGGTTAAAAGTCCGAACTCCCAGGATGGCTCGATGCCCGGACATCCAGCAACTCCCACACAACTGGGCACCTTGCAGCAGCTCCCCCCGCTCCTCCTTCCTTGCGGCTTTCTCTCTCCCTCTCGGGAGAGGAACTCTGGGGGGGGGAAATGGAGACATCCCAGATTTCTTCCACCCTTCCATCTGCAGGGGCCAGCCCGATTCCAGTCCTTTCACCACCCTTGGGGCTTTCGGCCTACCTTTCTCAGGCCATGGGGCTTCCCCTCCCCCACCCAGCTCGTGGCTGGGCGGGGGAAGGTCTGCACTGCACGCTGACCGGAACCAAAGAGAGCGAGTTCCCCTGGGAATTCTGCTTTCAACCCCTCTGTGTTCTCAGAGGCGTGTCTACTTTCAATTGGTCAATATCTAAATTGACCTCTTCCTTCCGGGAAAAATTATCTTTCCGTGTCAAACCACGACATCACCTCAAGCAGGTGACACAAAACATATGTGGAAGATGCACAGACTATAGCTGGGAAAATTAAAGATTAGAAATAGTAAAATAAATTATGTAGCTATGTATTTCAGTTTTAAGTACCAAACACCAAAAAGAAATTCTTTATACACTGTGAAAGTAAAATAAATGAAAATAAGCTAAAAAGGAGAAAAGTATAATTACCAACTCCTTAGTACTAGTAAAAAAAATTCCAGTGGATTGCCTCACAGGTTTTTTTTTTTTAATTATTATTATTACTACTAGGTGACCAGTTTGGTTTTTAACTGCATGGAGTAGATAACTTGATGAGATCTGTAAAAAGAGATGTTGCAAGAGTAGCTAAGGGTTGCATCTTTGAACTTTCTTTTCAAGATGAGTTAGCATTCTTTAATGGAAGTATACCACTGGTGAAACAGCTACCCAAGAGACAAAAAGTATTTTTAATAGCTAAATAAACTTGTTATGATTGAAAGGCTCTGCAGGATGATATACCTGCAGAGTATATAGTTATGTATCTCTAACACTAGTATTGAGCATTAAAGTAATATACTAAGGAATACCAGTTCCTTCCTACAAGTATCTTTCCCTAAATGCTGTGCTCAATAAAGAAACTTATTCAGTACTTTAAAGCAAAAATCAAAGAAATTACAAACATGAAAAAACAGTGCCCTGACTCATGCACTGAGGTTTAAAAGTTCCCACCACCAAAGCAACAATTATTTTTAAATCAATCTGAATTCTAATCATGTTACTACACCAAGTAAAATGGGAAATGTATTTTCTACCTATGCTGTATTAGATTTCTCTGTAATTCAAGAAGTACTGCTTTTGGTGCTACAAAATTAGACAAGTTCTTAGTACTACCAATAATGTTGTCTACAATAAAACATCCCTCTTAATGCAGTGAGTCTACACATGAAAAATCTTACACTTTGTTTTCCTGCTGATGTCACTGAGTATTAATTCAAGATTCTCATGTGCCAAGTCAACAACATCAAGTAATTGGGGTGGAAGCCTGGGAATTGTTTTCATTAAGATTGCAACATTGTTTTAGCATGTGTGGTGTGGAACTTTTCTCATGCTGTTGTCCAGGAAATGACATCTGGGCTTGTGGAGAAACTACTGTAAAGTATATGTGGATTGCCAGTCAAATAGTAATCTTTACACTTCTTCTAAAATGCAAAAACTGGTTATGCACAATCAGGCAAACAGTAGTAAATTATTTTGCTGAAACAAGCCTATTGACTAATCAAACTATTTTAAATGCATGCTTTTCATTAAGTTTCTAGAATGAATACAAAAAGTATTCAAGTAAAAAGTATACAAAATTCATAAATTTGTAGCTAAATCAATTAAATCCCACATTCAGTATCATTTAAACGATATACCAAAATGAACAGGTGGTATCTCTCAGTAATGGCAGAATAAATCAGAAGCTGATTTTCTAAGTATTTCACTGTGGAAACTGTGACCAAAACGAACACAAGAATCTAGGCATATGTGAATACAAGCAAGGTGTGAGAGAGGATTGCAAATGCACCCTAGTACAGGCTACTTTTAGGAAGCATATACTTGTGATTTTTTAAAGAAGTCTATCCATATACATAAACCCTTCAAAAAAACACAACAATGGCCAATCAGCTGGCATCCAAAGAGCAGTGGCCAAAAGCTCAGAGTCCCAATGGACACCAGTGACAATCTTTGTCCCACAGATATCTGTATCAGGACCAGTGCTACACAAAACCTTTTTATCAATGAAATAGATGAAGGATCGAGTGCACCCTCACCAAATCTGCTGATGACACCAAACTGAGTGATGTGGCTGACACTCCTGAAGGACAGGATACCATCCAGAGGGACCTGGACAAGACAACTGTTGTTTTTCCAAACAAGTCGCAAAATAAAAGTGTTTATTTTAATCAAGGAATCAACTAGAATTTCCTAAAAAATCCAAGTCAGACAGCTTCATGTATCCTTACAGAAAAATCAAACTCTAACCAAGTAAACCTGACACCTGAGGGAAAAACATGTCTTTTAAATAGACCCCAAAACCACATTCTTCTGCCTTTTATACTAGGACTAGTTATGTAAAATGTACAGTTGAAATTCTTTCTCAATTGATGCAGAATCAACCCTAACAAGAAAGATTGTTTTCTTCCACCATCTCTAAATACGCAAAAAACAACATTTGGCCCAATTCCTCTATTACTATGGAGGCAGGTGGTGTGCCAAACAAGCACTCTTCTGAAACTTACACCAGGTAAGCTGCTATACCCCTTCCTACTCCCCTGCCCCCAAACCAGTGAAGCACCTAACAAATGGATTTTCCAGTAAGATTTAAACCAGTTTTAATTGCCTCAATATGAAATAAAGCTCAGGAAAGACTATCAGTGTTAACACAAGACATGGTCTTCCACGCAATGATTCACAAAAGGAAAATGGTTAGGCTGGTGCACTAGGATGGCTCTGAAATTAAACTTCCCACACACATTCCTCACCCAAGAATCTTCCAGTCCAGAGTACCTAAGGCCCAAAAACAAAGCAGTGAATTCTGTTGAATATAGCTAACCAGATAATCAAGTAGAAACTTAAAATAATGCTATCCATGCTCCAGACAGCATGTTTGATCAGTATCTGTAGGATGAACCAGTAACCAAATCTATGGTGGTACCTAAAAATAAAATTAAACTAAAATAACTAAACCACATCAAAGAACACCAACACCCTCTGAAAAAAAAAAAAAACCAAACAAAAAAACCAAACAAAAACCAACCAAACAAAAAAAAACACCACCCCAAAAGAACAAAAACAAAACCAAGAAACAAATATACACACAGTAAAAAAAAAAAAAACCAAACCAAAAAACTGAAAATCCCCAAACAAAAACCCCTACAAAACAAAACAAAGAAACTTAACAAGAAACTCGCCATGAAACTAGAGAAAGGAGAGTGAAAGAGGAAAAAAAAAAAAAGAAAAGACAGTAAGGCAGTAGATCAGTAAAAGAAGCTCTTTCTGAAAACAACTCTAGCTCCAGGATAAGCTGAACAACTATGAAATTAACTTATACCAGAATTTCAAAGCACAATGATGAGTGCACTTATTAAGGCAGTGCCACACTGGTTGCATTTCACTTCCCAAGAAAAATTATTTAGAATCTGACCAATACCCAGCCCTTTTGAGACATGTCAAGCCTAGAAGTTAGTTCACTATGATGTGTCATACTTGTATACAATGACACATTAAATGTTGAACTAAAGTTAATCAAAATGCAGTGTTTACACACAACAAAGCTTAAGGTGAAGCCATCAACAGCCAGTCTCACAAGCAGTTCAATGTCAAAACTACTCCTTTGTGTGCCACAATTACAGTAATAATCCAAGTATCATTGAACATTTAATACTCAGTACTCTACTGACCCCCAAGCAAACTAATTTGCAAATGTGCCAAAAAAACCATTAGAGAAACACACGCACACGACTAGACATTGCTATTTTGAAGCTGCACCACTGAACAAGAAGTTCCAATTTTTAACAGCGAGGCTCTAATCTCTAAAATCAGAAGAAATAAGACATCCTACCTTATACAGAAATTGGCAAAGCTATTGCTATTATTTATTAACTGAGAGCATCAATATGGCAAAGCAATATAAGCAAAAATAAAAACACTATACTAAAGACAAATTTATCATTAAATGTCTAAAAAATTGTCTGGAGAAAAATATGTATCTTACTACAATAGAGACAGTTCAAAAAGTAACTCTGAAAACTGACTGCTATATCTGCAAAACAATACATCTTTGTGTAGTAAAAGCAATATATAAAAACCCTGCATATGCATCTTGTGAATGAGACATTCACATAAATCTCACCTTGTCACTGTCATCAGTACAAATGTGATCTTGATGGATTGAGTGGCATTGAAACGATGGACCAATACTACCTGGAAAACAAGGAGGGAAGGGAGAAAAAAAAAATAACTAAAATGATAACCCAATTTATGTGAACACTAAAAATAAAGGTAAATTTAGCAAACTTTCTTTCCTCTAAGATTTAGTTGCCAAACAGCTAGGTTTGATAACAGAACAAGCATCATAGAGACATTTTACAAGTGTGTCAATGTCTTCACATATATTTTTTTAAGAATTTTAAATGGAATAAAAATTATAGCTAGCTCATCAATCCAAAACCAACAAATGCAGTAAAGTACATATGCACATATGAAAATGAGAAGCTATGAAATTCAAGTTTATATAATGTACTACAGAACATTTTCAGGATCCTGGGTAATCACAAACCACCAGCCTCTTTCCAGCAATAAATTAAAAATAAAAGAGGAAAATTTCAAGGTTAAGGTTTTAATTGTGTCCAGTTTTCTTGTAATGGAATTTCTGCCTGCTTAATATTTCTATGTAAGTTTCTTTAGGCCTCGGAACAAAATCCAGTCCTGAGACTTCTGTCCAAAGAATATATGAAAATATTTCACAAAGCTTCTTCTGACTTACCACATCAGAAAAAAAATATTATTTTGCCATAGGAGTCATTGTATTGCCTTGAACAGAAGTAGTGCATGATTATACTGTGTATTTTTGGTAGGAAGGGAAGGCAGAAAAGAAATCACTACACAGTTGAAGTTTAAAGATGAAAATAGCAAAAATGAACCTGTTTTAAACTGCTCTAAGTATGCAGTGCTCCCCTTCCACTTGATTCAGACTTTTGCAAGCCACAAGTGTTTCACTACAAGCACTCCACATTTTTTTGAACTCCAATCAGTCCAATCTCAAAAGCAAGCTACAAAACTCAGCAGAACACAGTGTTAAAGGTATAGCTTAATATCTTTCTGATTACCCCAGGGGCAGAATTGATATAAAATACAACCTTTTGAATTGGTCTAAAATAAGAAAACAGCGGGGAAAAAAAATTAAGTTCAGCCAAATTACAACAAATACGCATAAACTTGTTTGAGGCTCCGCGCCATGCGGATAACGAAGGTACTTCCAGAGTGAGGTTCCCAAGCGTTATCCCGAACACATTAAAGTCACCGATGAGGACAGGGGAAGGGGAAGGCTCCGGGGAGTGCGGCCGCTCCCGCTGGCGCCGCCGGGCGAGCTCCGCACGCCAAGGGGATGCCGGCCCTCAGAGTCCTCTATTTCCCCTCTGACTACGTGAGCTGATAAATGTAGAATAAAACAAACATTACTGCAGTTTAAATGAGGAGTGGGCGGACAGTGGTGCAAACTGTCTTGCCCAGTGGGAATAAACCAGAGAGGGGTGACAGCAGTTATAACAACCTATGATAACATAGCTGGGGTGGGCACAAGGTCAGGGGACAAATAGAAGAGCTAGACTGGAGTGAATGACACAGAACTTGCTGGAAGAAACTGGGGGTGGGTATAGGATTAACAGCCAAAAGGGCATACGAAAACTTGATTGATGGAACCAAATAAGGAGAAAACAGGGAGAGGTGAGAAGACTGACAGATAACTGAGGAGCCGAGTGGCAGGAAGTTTTGGGGCAAACAACTTGGATCAAACCAACTGTAAGGGGACACAGAGGATAACTAACATTAATAAAAACTGACTGAATCAAACCACACTGTAAAAGTAGACCTTGCATTACAGGCCACATTATATACTTTACAGTTAGGCTTTTCATGAACCATGATCACATGCACCATCACAATGATAAACTGACTTTTTCCTAGCTATAACTGATGCCAACAGTAGCAACATAGCTCCAAAAGCAGCGCTTCCAGTTAGTTAATGCAACATAAGACACCTGGGCAGCTCATCAGTTTTCATTATGCCATACCTTCAATTCTAACAATGTCCATATTACCAAGAAAAAAATTTATTTTGGATTTTATCTGTATGTTTCAGTCAAACTCAACTGTTCTGCATAAAACCAAACAATCTGTTCTGCAGTTAGCAGAGAATATGTCAATGTCTTCCTTTAAATTCTTTTTGTTTTCTCTTAACAGGATGTCCTGGTTTATAAAATAAGCTTGTATTCTATTTGCCATCTGTTGGAGGTTGGGCAGGTTTGTTATCTCTTCCAAGAACAATGGTTTGCCCTGAAGAGGTAATGGTTTGTTAATGGGCCATTGACTGACTCACTGCAGGCTTGGTAAGGTAACATCATCCCATTGTGAGATGCTCCACCCAGAGGGGGAAGCCAAGCACTCTATTATTGTATAAAGGGGTACCTTTTGGGGGACAGAGCAGCTCTCTCTCTCTCTCTGTGGGATTCCCAGAGAAGCAGCTCTTTTGGCAGGACTCCGGAGAGAAGCGGCCGGAGCGCGGTGAGGCGGCGGCGGCGGAGCTCGGAGGCAGCCCTGGCGCAGAGGAAGACCGGCCCCACTGCCACCAGATCTTCAGAGGAAAACTATACCCCTTCTAAAGATCACCACTGCAGCTGCAATTCATCAGCCACTGCAAGAGGAGCAGCTATCATTTCAACCGGACTGCTACCAACACCCTGAATCCTCAGGCTGTGGACTTTATCACTAGTTTTGATTGTACCAATTGCATTTGCCTTTTTAAATTGTTATCTAGTTTTCTCCTAGTAAAGAATTGTTACTCCCATTCCCATATCTTTGCCTGAGAGCCTTTTAATTTAAAAATCCTGGTAATTCGGAGGGAGGGGGTTTACCTTCTCCATTGCACAGGAGGCTTTTGCCCTCCTTCACAGACTCCTGTCTTGTCAAACCAAGACACAGGATCATTCATGGCCTTTATGACATATTTGTTTCATTTGCAGTCAACTAATACCTAACAGTACAATAACAAGATATAAGACACAATCCTAAACTGCAAGAAGTGAAGGCATTACACATATCCTGGCTCCTCTGCACCAGTGAGCTGGCTGACCTCACCAACAGCCTCACCAGAAGCTGCTTTCGGATAAGGGTTTACATCAAAGACAGCGCTGATAATACAGTCCCTTGAATGGGCCAGCAGAGGTAACAGATCTGAAGACACTGACACAGCAGACTACCAGCTAAAGGCTCTGCTTCATGACAGTGCAATCTATAATGTTGAGTTAAATGGTCAGGAAAGTCCTGCAGGACTTCTCTGATCTTAAAAAATATTTTTATATTTATACACATAAAATACAAAAGAAGTTTTTAATAACTGAGCTATGTTTTTAAAGCATTTTCTTTCTGATAGATTGAACTGAGACAAACCTGAGGACAGGTTAATCACATTTCATCTACCTGCAAGGAACATCAGAGTCAGAATCTCAAAAGATGACCTCAGCAGCTCTCTAGTCTGTGTCAAAGACTTTTCAATTGTTAAAGATGCCCAAGGACTGAAAGGAACAAAAGCCAATTTGCATTGCACCCACTGCAGGGAGTAGATAAAAATTCAGTTAAACTATCTTCATATCCCAAAATTTACAGGGAATTTCAGTCCAACTCAAGACTAACTGCACTCCAGGGCTAGCATATCCTAGGGCTACTACAATCAAAGCTTTAATTCTGACTGAAGAATTATCACTGCAAAGCTGACTTAAGAGTAGGGAAAATGCCATAAAGACTCCTCTGGCAGAATGTAGCAGGCAGGCCCTGCCCACAGCACCTTCCCAAACTTCCTTGCTACTCTTCAGGAGATGCAACTGTGAGGTCTAATGCCCGTCATTTTCTCAAACCTAATACCAGTTTGAACTTCCTCTCTCTCACAATCCAAAGCAATTTCCATGCTGTGCAAGTAACAGGGCACTTTGTTACAGTCAGTTGGCTCACAGCTTCTAATACCCAGGTGACAAAAAAGAGTAGTCTCAATTTATTCTGAGACACCACCAAAACACAGCAGGCGTATGTGAAACATTAGATCAGGCATCCCTTCACCACTACCAGTATCAGACAGGGTAGAGAGTTAATACCCTTCAACTGATGCACTATATTTATATATATAACCTCTTTAAACACAGTTAAATTCTTTTGCACGCTCTTCTTCAAATATAGTGAGATACCCATTTTAGGATTATGACTTGCATTCTAATTCTTTAGTAACAGGCAAGAAAGGAAGAGTGCTATTCTCCCCAGCTACCACAGGAAAGGGATTGTTTTTCTTCTAAACCCACACATTAAACTGAAAAGCAGAAAGAATCTTCAGAATTTCATGGGTGCTGTCTAGCTTCTGCATTTAAATAAAAGGAAAATCAGTATCATGCTTGAAAGGCCTGCTTCATGCTTGCTAATTTAAACCATCCAAACACGCAAAATGCTGGTCTAAAGGAAAAAGAGGTGTGAATTCAAACCTTTTAATACAGTAACTTCAGTGCTACTGGAATTATCTCATTGTTTCTATGAATGACACTGGTAAGACTCTCCAGCACCAGTCTCATTAGGAAATTCTTTGTGTATGACATCTGTACTACTAAACCTACTCTATCTAGAGTGAAGCTGTTGAGTCTTACTAACTTGCATGAATCAGACAAGTTCTGGGCTAAATGTTTAATTTGCAAACTAGAGTTTGGAAAGTAGGAAATGCACGGAAACAAAATCTGAATTGGATCAAGCTTAGACTATTAATTAACTGCTCCCTTTAAAAAATCTGTAAATTGAATCGAATGTGTGTATATATATATATCTGGTGAGATAAAACCATGGATGGCTAGTCTACTTGAAAAAATACAAGGAATGGAGGTTAAATTATCAATGATCTAGGAGCCTCAACTTCCAACAAAATAATGCAAACCGCTCCTGCAGATTATTATAAAATGCTAGTCAACAATGTTCCTCTACCTGTGGTACATTATTTAGACTTTAGATGCTCCTTCTAATTCAAGAACCTTTCAAACTGCAATGGAGAAGTTATTCAATGGATAAACAGAACAACAAAACAAAAAACCAAAAAAACCAGTTACAACAGAAAATTTAGAGATGAGTTCAATAAAAGATACAGCTACTCAGGTTGGTCAAGTAAGAATAAGGCTGCA